CGGTGTTTAGACCCCAGAGAAAATAATGACAGGTGCAATTTAATCTAATAATGTGAGATAAAAAGCATATTATTTATCTTTTTAAATGTCATATGAGTTTTATATTATGTAATTTATAAAAATAATAATTAAATCTAAACAACACAATAATAATTGAAATAAATATAAATTATAGATTGTCCGATTGCTCTAATATAGTGTTAATTAATGTACCATTTTAAAATTAATCATGCCAATTATTAGCACGACAGAATCAGCTTGATTATACAAACCTTTGGTAAAGTTATAAATTAAACCACTCTATATAATATATTTTTAAAAATATTGAGACACACCACTTTTATAATAAAATAATTTTCACAAAAATAGCAACAAGAATACAAAACTTTTATTATTAAATGAATTGTACCAAACTCAATTTGTACAAATTATATAACAACAGTATTTAATACATGATTTTTACAAATAGAATTACTGCGTTAAATTTTGAATGAAGTTATCCAATTTAGTCTCTGCCCATTTCAGTTTATTAACCAGATCTTTTTGAATTAGGCGACCAATTGCTGTCAACGGCTTATACTCTTTGACCTTTTGGAGGGCATCGATAGCCAAGTCCTCCAATAGGGCCAGTCCTTTGGCCTCGAGGTCACGACCCTTTTGCTTGAGCTCTTCCACCAACAACTTTGCCTTATCGACAAGCATTTCACCCGTTTTAATCACGTCCGCGATATCATTAGCCGTCGCCAACGATGTCGGTGGCGCTAATTTTTGAATAAAATCATCCAGCTCTTTCTCCGCAAACTTCAATGAGCTGACCAGACCTAGTTGTACGAGTTTATCCAATTCAGTGATTGGTTTATACTCTTTCACTTTCTGCACGGCATCGATGGCGGCGTCCTCTAAGAGGGCCAGACCTTTGGCCTCAACGTCCCGACCCTGTTGTTTGAGCTCTTCCACCAATACCTTGGCCTTTGAGATAAGCATTTCAGCCGTTTTGATGATCCCATCGATGTCCAGACCGGCTGTCATTGTGGGCGGCTTTTTATGGATCTCGTCCTCGATCTTCTTGATCTCTGCCTCGAGCTCTACCTCTGTCTTCTCGATCAGTTTCTCCAGGCCTTCGAGCGCTAGTTTCCCGATCTTAGTCTTGGGGTCAGCTTTGTGTACCTTCTCGTCCAAATCGTGGAGTAAGACATCGAGTTTTTCTAAACCCTTGGCCAACAGGGGTTTGCCCTCTTTCTTGAGAAAGTCTTGAACTGTTTTGGAGTTGAGCAGCATTTCAGCTAATTTGAGCAACAATTCCTCCTTGCTCAATCCCATAGTCAATGTCAATGTGGGTGGCTTTTTGTGTATTTCATCCTCAATCTTCTTGATCTCAGCCTCCAGGTCTACCTCTGCCTTAGAGATGAGTTTCTCCAGGCCTTCGAGAGCAAACTTTCCAATCTTGGTCTTGGGATCAGCTTTGCGTACCTTATCGTCCAACTCATGCAATAGTGTGTCCAACTTCTCCAAACCCTTAGCCAACAGGGGTTTACCCTCTTTCTTAAAGAAGTCCTGAACGGTCTTTGAGTTGAGCAACATTTCGGCCAATTTGAGTAGCAATTCCTCCTTGCTCAATCCTGCCAATGACATGGGTGGCTTTTTGTGAATCTCATCCTCGATCTTTTTTATCTCTGCCTCCAAATCCTTCTCGGTTTTTGCGATCAGTTTCTCGAGCTCTTGGAGGGCCAGCTGACCGATCTTGGTCTTGGGGTCGGCCTTATGCACCTTCTCGTCCAACTCGTGGAGCACAACATCGAGTTTCTCCAAACCCTTGGCCAACAGGGGTTTCCCCTCTTTCTTAAGGAAGTCCTGAACTGTCTTTGAGTTCAGCAATAGTTCAGCCAATTTCAGGATCAGCTCCTCTTTGCTCAGCGTTGACTCCAACTCCGGGCGCTCAATACGGCTGCTCTCTATCGCTGTATTATGTTATGAATAAATTAATTTAGTAACATGGTTAAAATTATAAAATATTCATAAGAAACATGTTTAATAATTAATATAAATCACACTTACAATAGACAGAGAGTCCGATAATTGCCGCTAATAACAATGTTCTCATTATTAGTTTTATTATTATTAATTTATTTGTTAAATAATTAAATAATAATAATTAATATTTACTAAAATATTCACACCTTTTATACTTGTAATTTGCTTGAATAAATGATATTTTATTACTTAAGATAAACATGGTCAAAGGTTTAAACAATAGATTCAAGGTATAATAAGCCACTCCCATTTATAAATTAAAATACTTTAAGTTATTGATAATTAATTTCAGATTAATCATATAAGTGGTTGTATAAAAACAAAGTTAATAAACGTCAAAATAACACAAAATCAAGTTAAATATAATTGATCAACGTAAAATAGGGTTAAATATATAGATTACTAGTAGTTACAAAGTCAATTTTGCTATAAATTAATAGATTGAAATTATTCTTAATAAAAAACGACATTGTTAAATTTCAAAATTGCGCAGATTTATAGCCATTAATAGATTATTAACTTAAAATAAAAATTGTATAAATAATAAAAGTAACAAAAAATACATTAATCACTTGTAAAATAAAATATCTCTTATAGTATTGCATTGTAAATATTTAGTAATATTGCAGATCAACAAAATCAATTATCTGAGTTTTGTATTAATATATCTAGTTTATCCATAGTGTATTTTAACGAGTTTACAAAACCTTTTTGAACAAACCGGCCCACTCCAGTATACGGATTATAATCTTGTACCTTTTTCAACAATGTCTTAACACCACTGACTAACACAGCCATACTCTTGGCCTCAACCGCCCGACCCTTTGAATCCAACTCATCAGAAAGCTTATTCGCCCTGTCTATCATTAACTCGGCTTGGTCAATTATAACCGGTATATCGTAGCTATTATGACCATCGCGTATTTCGCCCTCAATCAATTTAATCTCGGCATTTAGATCTATTTCAGTATGTTCAATCATGATCTCCAGCCCCTGTAACATTGACTTTCCCGCATCAGACTGGGGGTCCGCTTTACTGACCTCTGTGTAGGTGCCATTCAATAGGCTGTCCAACATTTTTAAACCTTTGGCCAAATGCTTTTTGTCCACTTTGCTTAAGAGATCCTGGGCAGTCTTGGAGCTCAATAATAATTCAGCTACTTTATCGCGTAGTCTCTTTTTAGCCTGTTCAGTTTCTGTATCATTCACGTGGGTATCACTTATTTCACCCGTGCTGTCGCGTATCTCAGCATTGAGATCACCCTCGGCAATAATCACTAGATCTTCCAAGCCCTTGAGCGTCAACTGACCATGTTCATCGTTTGGGTCGGTGTTGTTCACTTTGGTCTCTAAATCGTGTAAAACAAGGTCCAATTTCTCCAGACCCTCGGCCATGAGTGGATTCCCCTGTTGTTGTAGCATATCCTGTACCGCTTGCGAATTGAGCAATAGTTTTGCCACTTTTTTAATTAATTTTTCTTTGGTAAGTGGCAAACCTATGTCTCGTTTGTTAATTGATCTAGCTCGAATATCTGTATAAAATCAGTTTATTATGCATATTTTATTTAATCAAGATGCTAACTGATGATACGTACAACAGATTAAAGTTAAAACGATCACGATCATTATTAATATTTTCATTATGTTTTTATAAGATAGATGTTGTCTTAATCTATTAGAAATACAATACAATAAAAATAATTAATTATCTTAATAATATCAAATACTTTAAATGTTAAGTAATTTTGATAGTTTTGTTTTCAAAACATATTTAGTAACATTTCACAATTCGATCAAGGTTCAAATTCATTTTAATACATTATGATATAATTATAATACCTTGAACTTCATAAAAGAATAATCCAAATATTTTATAATGTGTTAACTCGATAAGCAAAATGTCAATAATTTAATAAAATAAAATATACCTGTATAACTCATTGATAACAAAATAAAATCAGTAGTAATAATAATCATGTTTGTTTATTATAAATGTCATTTCGTGTTTAACTATAATTTATAAACAATAATCAGAATAGTATTTAATAAAATTTTAGATTATTTACACTTGACAATAAGAAGACAATAAGTAATTTGAAAATTTTAATCATTATGATCTAATGTCTTTTTACTTTTATTATAATAGCTGTTAATCACTTAACTTAATAATATAGTAACACAAGTTATAAACTATTCTAGCATTATTTTATTTCAAAATAAGTTAATTTACAATTGATTTATTTGTCGTTTATTCAAAATATATATTTATTAACTTTTAAAAAATTAAATAATTAATTGAGAGAGAAATTATATTTTAAGTATAAATGTTTATAGAATATTACACTTATATTATTGAATAGAAAATAATTACCTGTACATGAATTATTAATAATATATTATTGAACAACTTTTAACAAATAGTCGGACACCTGGTTTTTGTATTTAGCACTACAGTTGAATATGTTCATTAGATTTACTTTGCCACAGAGGTATTTAATAAAATCAAACAAATGTCGGTAAATTATCATTAATACTACATTTCCAAGTTTTTAGTTGAGAAAGCATTGTTGTCTCAACTCGTGTTTTAGTGCACAGGTTAATTTCCCATCCAATAAAAACAATCACAAATAATAATAAAAATAAAATCATTAGTATAATTGCCGCCGCACCATAATTATTAAACGATAAATAAATAAACATGGCAATTATTATTGTGAACAAGGTCGTGTTTACGTAAGTAAATACTTTCATCCAGAACATGATGCTTTTGAATAAATTGTGGCTAAAGTTTTGCAAACACTCGTTAATATCCTTTAGATATACATAGCATGGCTGAACTCGGATGGTCCCGATTCTCATAGTCAGTACGTTTATTATATTCAAATATTTCAATTTAAATTCTATGTATAACATATACACTACTATTGACCAACCGCTGAAGTAGAGGTAATAAACCATGAACGTTATGTTATTATAAATTGTATTATCATTTAAATATGTTTGTATTTGATGTTTATTAATAATTCCATCGTTCAATATTATGTACTGTCTGAAAGAGACTATAATGATGTATATTATTATATAAATTGTATTAAGCATTAAATATTGATATTTTAATGAGTATTTTAGATAATAGTAATTCAATTCACGAATTAAATTAATAATCAACACCGAGTTATATTTTATGTATGCGTACGACAATAGATATACCATGTGTTCAATAAAGACAATAATTTTACAAATGATTAACAGGTAGTGATCGGTGGGAGAGAATGAAAGTATTAGATATACAAACACTGTTGCAAATGATGTCAAGAATATTCCGGACAATAAGTGTTGAATCATATTGTGTTTGCAATTAATACCATACGGAACCATGGTATATTCAATCATCGTAACTAAATATCCCAACTTATTAATCAACTACTAGGAGAATAGTAACTTAAGTAATTAAAAATTGATTTTGATAAAAAACATCACTGAAATATAATATGTAAATTTACTTTAACCATAACAATACATATGTATTTTATTATAATAAAATGTTATTATCAAAAAATTAATCGTGTTTATACAAGTAACCTTTACATTTATTCTACAATTCAAAAAATTATTTAATAATGTAACCCCATATACATGTAGTACATCTTATACGGTTATAAAATAGCGATTTAAAACTCAAAAGAATTCTATTGTTTGTTTGTAGAATATTCAACACTTGTCCTAATGCATATGGCTTTATACACGAATATACCGTACAGTATATACAAAATCTATGACAAATACTTATCGTTTTACATGATTCACTATAATTGCATTTTTACAATCACTTAATCCAATTTGAAACGAAATTATTACTAAAATACTAAAAATTATTAAATGCCATTTTGTTGTTAAATCATCATGATGTATAAAGTATGCGCACAGTTTGCTTACCTCTTACTAAACATTATAGTTAACAAAATTAAATCATTTTGCTGATACGGTCTAATTCCCTCTCAATCATTCTCTTTACTTATATAAAAGTACATTGTACATTTGTATAAGATCAATAATATTAATATTGCATAACTCACAAGATATAATTGTAATGTATTTTTAAAACATGTTAGGCAATAGAATAATAAGAATTTTGTATTTATGGAATCAACAATAGGATTATCAAGATTTTAACGAAATATACAAATCTCTCTCTCTCTCCCACCGATCACTACCTGTTAATCATTTGTAAAATTATTGTCTTTATTGAACACATGGTATATCTATTGTCGTACGCATACATAAAATATAACTCGGTGTTGATGTTCAATAATATATTATTAATAATTCATGTACAGGTAATTATTTTCTATTCAATAATATAAGTGTAATATTCTATAAACATTTATACTTAAAATATAATCTCTCTCTCAATTAAAGGAAGATATTATTTGGTATGTCTTCACATAAATATTGAGAATTTAATAAATTGAAAAACTATATTTTATTTATAAAATACACAAATTTATTAAACATCAATGCAATACATTATTACTTTGGTTATTATAATTTATATTAACATACTAAACCATAATTCTGTTTTTTTATAATTATGAGGTTATTCAGTAAATTAAGCAAATGACGGTAAATTATTATTTATATTACGTTTCCACTCATGTACAGTATCTGACTCATCATGTATTTCTCTACACGAGATTTTATATACAAATTAATTTCCAATACAAAAAACACAATTAACATTATACTAAAAAGCACACTCATTATAATAATTATTGTAGTTACATATTTAGAGCAAGAAACATAAATTATATAAATAAGCATTATAATAATTATTGTAAACAAGGTCATATTTACGTAAGCAAATATTTTAGCCCAAAATATAACGTGTTTTAATGAATTTTGGCGAAAATGTTGCAAACATTTCTCAATACTTGTCAAATACAAATAGGATGGCTGTTCACGAATGGCCACAACTCTCAGCCCTTGTGCGCCAATAATATGCAAATATTTATATGTATAATTCAATGTAAACGATGTACACCACTAGTGACCAACCGCTCACGTACAAATAATACACACAAAATGTTAGGTTATTATAGATTTTATCATCATCTAAATAGTGTTGAATTTGTTGTTTATTAATTAATTCGTCGCTGAATATCACATACTGTCTGAACAATACCATAATTATATACATTGTTACATAGATTATATTTAGTAGTTTATTACTAAATTTTAACGAATATTTAATATAATATTCGTTCAATTCTTGATTTAGATTTTTAATTAATTGTGTGTTATATTTAATATAGGCATAAGATAGTAGATATACCATGTGTTCAATAAACATGAAAATTTTACATATAATAAATAGATAAGTATCGTTCACAGAGAATGACATAATAAAATACACAAACACTGTCACGAATGTTGTCAAGAATATTCCGGATAGAATGTGTTGAATAACATTGTTTTTACAGTTAATTCCGTACGGAATCATGATCAATTCAAGCATTTTAAACACAATTTAATTAATTTGATTTAGAATAAAATTATATAATGTATATTAAACAACGGCTTTACTAACCACTTTGTATGTAACAAATAATAAAATATCATAAGTTAATATTTTAACGACAAAAGATTTATAGTTATTTTAATCATTTACTTTCAAAATCAAATAGATTAATAATTTAGCATGTTCAGAATATTAATACATACAATACATTGCCCACAATAAAATTGTAATATCCATACAATTGTATTCCCTAGTTAGAATAAAAGATCAAATTCCGTACTAAACAGTATTAGCCGGAAAATGTACTGTTATTGCCTTAAATATGCGGCATATTTGATGTGCATCATGAATCATGATGTGGACCAATAATAATATTATATTATTGTCAATAAATTGTATTTAAAAAGCATTTAAAATATTATTGTAATATATTTTATATTATGTGTGTTTAGTCTGTATAAGGAATTTTGTTTTGTTGGAATAAACAATAGAAATTTCCAATAGCAATATAAATTGAGAATTAGCCTACAGGTAAAGTATTATAATTTACAGTATTATCCGTTATATTGTACAGCATTAATGTTGTTTTATCATAAAATAAAATCAATTTATAAAACTTCAGGTACTATGCAATGGATTTATACATACCTAAACAAATATAAATACAATCCCATAAGAATATATGTGATCTCGTTGCATTTTCCCATGTAAAAGTTTTAGATGATTAAAGATAAAATGAACTACAGAATTTATATAAAATATAATTTAATTAATGTCATACTTTATAAAATGTATAATTATTTTGAATCACATTTCCTGTAAATACTTGTCCTCCAGTTTGATAAACCAGTCCATCCAATACACCAATCATATTGTTTGGGATATTTAAATGTCTTAGCATTTAGAGCATCGGCAGCTTCATAAGCCCAGTGAGAGTTGTTTAAAAGTGCCCGACCTATCATTATAAGTGAAGCCCCATTACTCTGCAATATATTTTCGGCCGCAAAAGGGTCTACGATTTGACCGACAGCTGCTGTGGCCAAACCCACAGTTTGCTGTATAACTGCCGCCGCATCCAATTGTTCCCGACATGTGTTTAACGGGGTTTGTCCCCCATTCAGCGTAAACCCCGATGAACTGCAATCCAAGAAATCGATGCCAATTTGTTTTAATTGTTTTGCAAATTCAATGCTTTGCTCTAAATTCCAGCCCTCCTTATGGTATTCAGTGACAGATAGTCTCACACCTAATGCAATGCAATCGGGTATAGCATCGCGTACTCCCCGCGCGATCTCCAAACCAAAACGCATCCGATTCTCGAGACAACCGCCATATCTGTCCGATCGGTGGTTAGTTAGCGGCGACAGAAAACTGCCCACTAAATAACCATGTGCGAAATGCAATTCTATAACCTTATTAGTAATAATAATAATAATAGTCAGGCAGTTCATTTAACAAATGTTCTCGAGTAATAACTAACCTGAAATCCAGCAGAAACGGCACGTTTGGCCGACTCTACCCACGATAGAGTCATGTGTCTGATATCGTGTTCGGTGGCCTCGTGTGGCACTTTCCAAATGGACCCGTCGATCGGCACTGCACTGGCGCTAATGGTAGGCCACCCGCCCCTGTCGTTGGCCAATGACTGGTAGCCCTCCCAAATGGGCGTACAGCTGGCCTTTGGTCCGCAGTGTGCTAGTTGTATGCCTGGAACCGAACCCAACGATTTTATTAATGTGGTCACTCTTTCCCAGGCTTCGGTTTGCCGGTCATTCCAGAGTCCAGTGCATTGATGAGTGCCGCGACCCCTCTCTTCTACGTTAGTGGCCTCAACCATAACCATTCCCACGCCTCCCAACGCGAATTGCCCATAATGAGCCAGATGAAAATCTTGTGGCATACCATCCACGGCTGATTGCTGACACATAGGACTCAAGCATATTCTGTTTTTTAGCGTTACGCCACGTATGCTCAATGGTGTAAACAATAATGCATCGGATTTTGTTTTTGTATTCATATTTTTTTATTAATTATAAAATAAATACACAATATTTCAATTTTTTGTATTGTACTTATTGTTTGAACAAAGAGACAGACATTTCTGTTAAAGTGTTAGTAAATAATTTTAATATTTACATTATATTAAATATAAGCATATGGTTTATAAACATTAAAATATATTTTTTATTTGTGATTGGTTAATGTGGTTTGACGTAAATTACTAAACCATATGTCATTTAGTAAGATATTCTTATAAATTCTAGATTTTCATAAAGAATTATATTTATATTAAATTGAAATAACACAAATTTTAAATATAGTTAACTTAAATTTATAATAAGTTTTAAGTTAGGTTTAAGCTAGATTCTCTGAAAAGTACTTCACAATAGTATATAGTGTTCCCAGATCAATATTTTAATTTCCTTAACAAATGTACTTTCAAGTAATATTTTCCTTGAGATTTTTAAAAATTTTATTAAAAATTCATTGAGTTACTTAGATAATGGACAGTTGGCAACCCTGTTCACTACCTGTCTATTAACTACATCTCTATCCCTACTAGATTTGTATCAAACAATCAAATAATAGTAATTTACAATCAAACCTCTTATGCTATAAATGGTATAACAAATTGGAAAAACATATTGTAAACAATACCACTAAAACATTACTATTTTTACAAATTTACAAATACTATTGATCACTACTTTTATTGCTATACTTTTGTGCCTAAAATGTGTACTAAATCTAACACTAGTCCTGGTGCTGATGGGCGTGGCCAATAGGGTCACCACCAGCGGCGCCGCCAATTTGATTGGCGTTGAGATCGAGCCCTAGGATGGACGACCTGTGCCCGGGCGCAAACGTAGGCTGATCTGTGCCCATATTAGTGGCGTCAAAATCTTGGAACTCGACCACTCGTATACGGTTGCGGGCATCAAAGTAGTCGCCATAGTCTCCGGTGAGTATTTCCCCTAAATTGAAGGTAAGAGCGATGTAATAGATCAACACGAGTGGCGTTATGGCCAGAAGTGGGTGCGAATCGATATACATTTGTATCACGTAATAACAGGCGCAAAGCAAGACAACCGTATACACCATCACACAAAACAAATGGAAACCAAAGTAAGCGACCCCTTCGGCCGTGGCGTGATTCAAGACCAACTCTACGGTCAACTCCACGTTATCTCCGCGTCTGATCCGGGCGTCGGTGTAGATGTGTTGGCATATTATGCAAGGCCTGTCCCCGGAGGTGACGATCCACTCGCACGTACAGCTGTAGTGCATAAGAGCCGCGTCGTTGGTCGGCAGGCAATGGCAGCGCACACCTAATGGGTTGTCGGCAGTGCCCGGCAATCGGCATATTACACACACGGGCCCTTCGACCAACTGGTCATAGATATCCGGCGCCTGATCTGCCATTTGTGTCCACTATTTGCGATAATAATTTTTGGTTTGTCTTTTGAAACAATACTAATTGTTGTGTTTTTTATTCGTTTTTTCAAATTATTTCTAATTTTTAAAATTTAAATTTTAAACTTTCAATTTTAATTATGGTCTCTCTCTCTCTCTCTCTCTCTCTCTCTCTCTCTCTCGCGTAAAATGCAAATAATTTAAATTTTCTTGAATATTAAAAAAACACAACAATTAGTATTGTTTCAAAAAACAAACCAAAAAGTATTATCGCAAATAGTGGACACAAATGGCAGATCAGGCGCCGGATATCTATGACCAGTTGGCCGAAGGGCCCGCGTGTCGGATATGCCACTTGCCGGGCACTGCCGACAACCCATTAGGTGTGCGCTGCCATTGCCTGCCGACAAACGACGCGGCTCTTATGCACTACAGCTGTACGTGCGAGTGGATCGTCACATCGGGGGACACGCCGTGCACAATATGCCAACACATCTACACCGACCCGCGTATCAGACGCCAAAACGTAGCGGTAAACTCGTGGTGGGAAATGATAGGTTTGGTGTGGAATCGCGGCACCAGAGATGGGGTCGTTTACTTCGGGTCCCATTTGCTTTGTGTGATGCTATATACGGTTGTACTGCTCGGCGCCTGTAATTACGTGATGCGAATGTTCATCGATTCGCACCCCTTTCTGGCCGTAACCCCACTCGTGTTGATCCATATTATGGGTGTTATTTTCCAGTTGGTGGCTGTGCTCACCGGCCCCTATGGCGGCTACTTTGCTGAGCGCAGCCGTATACGAGTGGTCGACTTCCAAGATTTTGACGCCAACAATGTGGGCACAGGTCAGCCGACGTTCGCGCCCGGGCACAGGTCATCCGTCCTGGAGTTCGTCCAAGATGATGACGCCGCTGGTGGTGGCCCTATTGGCCCCGACCATCAGCACCAGGACTAGTGCTACATTTAGTACACATTTTAAGCACAAAAGTAGCAATAAAAGTAGTGATCAATAGTATTTATTAATATGAAATAATTATAATTAATTGTTAAAAACAAGCAAGTTATCATAAATGATAAATATAGGAATTACTTGTAGAATTAATAAGTGCTTCAAATAATGATTCAATGGCTGATTACTTGGAAACAATTTAATGATTGAAAAGCAATCAAGTAATAAGTTAATGCATTATTTAATATGGATTAACAGTTTGATTGGTTATTAATTAGGCAATATCGTTTCAATATTCTAGTAACGTCAAAATGTTATACCCAATATTGTACTTATATACAGCATCTATTACTGCAAAATGACATTTAATAGCGACTTTTTATTGATTATAAGATTAACGGATTAAATGATCAATAATTCAGCATAAATACTATTTAATTTATTGATAAATGGGATTATTAGTTAATTGTGTATAATATTACCACAGTCTATTAGTATTAGTACGGTTACAAGTTTAAACAATAAATAGTATATAAACCGCTGTTGAAGTATAACATTATATATTTAATAATAAATTATTTTAATACAATTTAATAACAATTAATCAACAATGTTGGTGTTGAAGCAGTTAATTTTTATTGGTATATCTTATACATTATAGGTTGTAAATAAATCACATATTTTATAATTAATTTTATACATTGTAGTTTTGGCGTTGATATGCCAATCATTGGCCATGGACTGTGATGGTGCAAAGTACCTAGCTCCGTGCGAATGCGGTGGTGGGTCCGGCGAGAATATATTCTGCGACAGTCCGGCCATAACTGCCGATATACTGGTCGACGCGTTTCAAAACTACTCGCAATCGGTGGGCACTCGCCGTACGTTTGACACGCTGTACGTACGGTCGCCATCTCTGACGGAATTGCCGGCCGAAGCGTTCGCCGGAATACAGTTCCGTCACGTATTCATACGAAACACGTATGCCTTACGACACATTCACTCCGAGGCGTTCGCCGGCACCGAGTCGTACATCAAGTATCTGGAGATCAGCGGCGCTCCAGAGCTCGACCCGTCCGCCGGTCCCAACCATCAACTCTTTGCGGCCATAAATGCGCTAAAAGTGATCAAAACCCTACGCATAACCAACACTAGTCTCTCTTATATACCACGGTTTGCCTTCAAGTCGTTGTCGGGTTTGAGAGATCTGTATCTCGACGGCAATCAGTTGGAGAGGATAGAGGGAAAGGCGTTCAGAGATTTACACAATGTAAATATACTAGACTTGAGCAACAATCGTATAAAGTATGTGTCCGACGGGGCGTTTGACCTGAATCTGGCGCCACCGGTGGCCAAAGAAGTGTTCAAAAAGCTGGACTTTCCCGGTATGGTTGGGGTTGACTCAACTATTCAGCCCCTGTACCTGCGTTTGGGTGGCAATCGGCTGAAAGACCAATCGTTGTCGGGTCGGACACTGAGCTCCGGTAGTAAGAGATCAGTGATTGTGTCATTAGAAGGAAATGATGTGACATATTTGAGCAAGCACAGTTTCCAGTTGTTTCTATTGTCACACTCGTTGAACAAAGTGGCCGATAGTATTGACTGCGAGTCGTGCGATAACTATTGGCTAACTGACACCGGTTTGACCGCAAACAACACCGAGTTTATTACATGTTTGGGTGGACAGCCATTAAGTGATCCTGGTAATTTCCAGGATTGTTAATTTTAACCACCAATTTATTACATGATTTTAAAAAACTAACTTTTAAATAAAATTGGTAGTCCTCCTTCTCTCCTTCTAACCCCTTTCTCATACTTCCTTTTAAAACAGTAAAATAAAAATAATTGTTAATCAAACCTCTAATGTTATAACTAATGGGACAAACAATACTGTAAATAATATCGCAAAACTATTTGCAAAACACTTTTACTTGTTTTTCACTAAATGTGTACTAAATGTGCGACAACTGAATTTGTTTACTGACCCCCAGCGGCACCGCCAGCACCGGCACCACCGCCTCCCTGCGCGCCTGGCAATTGTTGGTGAGCGGGAACCACGGTGTGAGTGTGTCGTCCGGGTGCCAACTCGCGGGTAGCCGTGTCGAAGTCGTCGAACTCGACGACCTGGAACTGGCCCTGGTACTCCGGGCCCATGTACTGGCCATAGGGTCCCAACTCCAGTTCCTGACGTATCAGTACAAATCCCATCATGATGATCGGCAAAATCAAAGCCATTACCCACATTTCCCGGGGGCGACGACGACTAAACTGCCAACCCATGAAACCAAACCAAATGACGTGCAAAGCAATCACGTACAGCGCGTACAGCACCACATTGACGGTGCCGTGCGTTCGGGTCAATAAACTCCACAGGTTTTGCGGCTCCGACCGTCTGATCCGCGGCTCTTCGTAGCGCTGGCGACAAAACGAGCACCGGCTGTCCCGCGAGCTCACAATCCAACGAGCGGTACAGCTGTAGTGCCAAACCGCGGCACCGTTTGTCGGCGGACACCCACAGAACGGCCCCAACGGGTCCAGAGGGTCGGTCTCTCCCGAGCGACACAAATGGCATACCTGTTCTTCGGGTTCCGATGCGTCCATACCGTGTGCCTGATCTGCCACTTGTGGCTACTCTTTGTGATAACAGTGTT